CACTGGATTGATGAAAGTTGGAAAATGTTTAAAAGAGTTGTTTATTTTATTGCAATTGAAGAGGCACACACTGATATTAATGTTGCAAATTTAATTGTTGAAGAACTTGGACAACTAAAAATTGATCAAAGAATATTTACTATTTCACTAGATAATGCAAGTAATAATAATGTAGCTGTTGATTTTCTGAAAATAACTTTGTCATTGCCATGTCATGGTGAGCTTTTTCATGTTAGATGTATCTGTCATATTTTAAATTTAATTGTTCAAAGTGCATTTTCTGAAATTAAACCCATGATAGAAAAAGTTAGAACAGTTACTAATATGCATAATGCTTCTGAAATGAGAATTAAAAGAAGAATATTTACTATTTCACTAGATAATGCAAGTAATAATAATGTAGCTGTTGATTTTCTGAAAATAACTTTGTCATTGCCATGTCATGGTGAGCTTTTTCATGTTAGATGTATCTGTCATATTTTAAATTTAATTGTTCAAAGTGCATTTTCTGAAATTAAACCCATGATAGAAAAAGTTAGAACAGTTACTAATATGCATAATGCTTCTGAAATGAGAATTAAAAGATGGAAACAATGTTGTAAAAGAAAAAATTATAAGCCTAGACTAATTCCAAAAGATGTTGACCATAGGTGGAATTCCACCTATGCAATGTTATCTGTAGCAATAGAATATAAAGAAATTATAAATGATTTTATAAATTTTTATGCTTCTAGTTCTAGCTCTGGTAGTGCTTATGGAATAACTGAAGATGAATGGACAGTTATATGTAAATTAAATGAGATGTTACAAGTTTTTTATGATGCTACTATGTTATTATCTGGTTGTTATTATCCAACTATTACTTTAGCTGCTTTACAAATTTTAAATATTCAAAAATTTTTTGCAAAATATCGTATGGATGATACTTTTGGAAATATAATTTTTCAAATGGAGAGTAAATTTAATAAGTATTTTAGGCCTATTCCTCATATTTTTGGTATTGGTGTTCTTATTGATCCATGCTTGAAGGAAATTGGCCTTCGAAGTTTGTTACAATCATTATATGGTGGACAGATTATAGACTTAGATGATGGATCCACCCTTACTGCTACTACTCATTATGTAGCTATTAGAAATTATTTTCAAACCTTATATGATGAGTATGCAGCTAGATATGGTGTAGCTACACAACAGTCTTCAGCTTCGGCACCTTCAGCTTCGAGCACAGGTCGAGGTAAAAGTGTAAGTTTTGATAGGTATGCAATGGTAGCTGAACTAACTGGTGGATCTGGAACTTCATCAGGATTAGAGGTTTCTGAAATAGACGAATATTTATCTGCTTCCTTAGTTAAATGTCAAGGAAATGCTTTAGATATTTTGCAATGGTGGAAAGTATATGGATCAGTTTCATATCCTATACTTTCCACCATGGTTCGTGACTTACTATCAGTGCAGGTTTCGACTGTAGCCTCGGAATCCGCTTTCAGCACAGCAGGACGTTTGATCGACGACCACAGGACATGCTTAGATCCGTATACTGTACAAGCGGTGATGTGCTTACAGGATTGGTGGAGATACGAGAAGCGAACACAAGGCATCGAACGGATTGCTATGATTGAAGATAAATTTGAAGAGTTGGGACTAGCAGATAGATATAATGATTAGATAATATTCATAAAATTGTAATTTTTATTTCTTAGCTTTAAATTTGAATTAAATTATTTCGAAAAAAGTTGCAAATGATAGTGATATGGGTGAGTAGGTGCCAACCTAGTTGGGATGTACTCATCTATTGTGATGCGACGAATTTCGAAATAAATTTATACTTGTAAAGGATTTACCGATTATTAATAAAGAAGTTATTTTTATCATTTTTTGTACTTGTAATTTATGTCATTTCATTTCAAGTTATTAATAAAATTTATGACATTTTTTATAATAATTTATAATTTATGGTTTTGTTAAAATTTAAAAAAATAAAAAAAAACAAAATGGTTTGGGTTTTATTTTTAAATTTTTTTAATCACTCTTCACTGACAGGGGGATGAAAAAGGGATTGAGATCATCTACTAATGCACAGTGCCTCCTAATATCTCCTAATGCATCTCCACCTTTCATTAGACCATCAAGGTGAGTGGTTGGGTTTTTATTTTTAAATTTTTTTAATCACTCTTCACTGACAGGGGGATGAAAAAGGGATTGAGATCATCTACTAATGCACAGTGCCTCCTAATATCTCCTAATGCATCTCCACCTTTCATTAGACCATCTCCAGCAGGAGGCGAAATTTCACCTCCCTCTCTCCTGCCACATCACTTTATTTAATTCAATAAACTCTATTTCCCTATCAACTCTGCAGCAGCTAGTTTTTCAGAAAGTTTTTTACTTTATTTGGGACCCACCATAACCACATCACTTCAACATATACCCCATGCATGCTGCCATGTGTCTAGGCCTGATTGGTCAGACATTTTTCTATTTTTTTTATAAATGTGACAGCGCACCGCTGGCCCCACGCTGCAGAAAACCAGGGGGGGAATTTTCCCCACCTGCTCCGGTATTTCAATTTCCCCACCCCCATTCCCCTCCTGCTGTAGCCAAAAGACTCCTATTTTCCTACATGTTGCAGCAAGTCTTACATAGTATCTCCTCGTATTTTGTGCTTATGTACAAAATAAAAGATGAAGATGCATTAGGAGATGTTATGAGATACTATGCATTAGTAGAGGATCCAAATCCATGAAAAAGTACGGTAACCTTAAGGTGAGTGGTTGGGTTTTTATTTCTAATTTTTTTAATCACTCTTCACTGATATCTTGCAGCTTTCAGCCCAATTCGCTCAATTTTGTAGCGACTTCTATCATCTTTGCCACATCAGATTTTAAGCTGCCACATAAATTTGTTTTCATCTTTGTAACGTTGTACCCAAACGATGTAAAACTTGGAAAGCTGCATAAAGGCCGCACGCTCTTACAACTTATTATTTTCCAAAGAAAAACTCGCAACCAGACAGCCCCTTACTCCTTTCATTCTGCTGGAACCAGCATACCATTACATGGTTCGATAATACTCGTGTATATATATTTTTAGATTATTGTCAAATTTACTTTCTTTACGGCCCGACCCTATTCTTCACAGGATCAGACCATTTGAGTGTTTTTAAGGATAATATTACAGTTTTAGATAGACTATGACATGGTCCCCTGTTAGATTGTGACAGTCGCTAACACTGTCAGCTACATTGACTGACATTATTATAGTATTCCTGTTAGAGAAATAATTCTATATTTTTAAAAGTTCGTTTCACTCGGATGAACTTAGAAGTCACGCTTAGACGCAATATGGTATTCATCCATATTTCAACCAAGTATATATATTTTTTTCTTTTTTTAAAACAACTGAACGTAATAATGCAGGGAACAGAAGCTGTGATTACATCTGATTATTTGTTGCTGGTGACAAATCGATTTCAGCTCATATGATTCACACAATTTTATGATGTCGCGTCGCTAGACAAAGCGACAATGCAAGCAACAACATCGAAAAAATGAGCTTAATCCTTATACAGCTCTACTAGCCAATAGTAGCACACAAGACCACCACCCTGAGAGAAACTTCTAAAACCATCAGAACCCATTAACTCCAATATCCAGATGACAAGTTTGACGGTTACTTCTGTGAGCAGTTGATGTGAGAGTTTTCTAGTCCAAGATAAGAGAGAATCAAGTGAGATGGTTTAATAATGGGAAAATTTGCAAAATAGACCGTTTTTATAAAGTAATTAGCGAAATAGACCACTTTTGAGAGTAATTAGCAAAATAGACCTCTTTTTGGCCTATTGGCCAAAAAGAGGTCTATTTTGCTAATTACTTTTAAAAGTGATCTATTTTGCTAATTACTTTATAAAAACGGTCTATTTTGCAAATTTTCCCTTTAATAATTTACTAGGGAGAGCATTAAATGTATCAACTAAGAGAAATGACAATAATGAGGATTAAAGGTCAGCTGAAAATAACTCATCTAGAGAAAATTAAGAAGGATACGATGAGAGTTAACTTGAGAAAGAAGATAAATCATTAACAGAATAGAACAGAGGTATAGGATTCATGTGGTCAACCCTAGAACTTAGAGGAGAAAACTAATGTTATGCAGAAAATTACAACCATATGCATTGACAGAATAAAATTACAACCATATGCATTGACAATTTACAGAAAGACTTGCAGCTATTTGTTTTCTTACAACTTCCAATCATATCAATAATAATAGATTACAAAATAAAACGCAACTCATTTGCAACAAATGTTGTTTTAAAAAATAACAATAAATAAATAAAAGAAAGAAAGAACAAAATCTGTATTCATAATTGAAAAAACAATTCATATCATATCAAAATTGAGCTATCATAAATTCTTCTCTGTTCTAAATAAGACAAACATAAATTCACATCCTGCCATAATCTAACTACTGACCACAACCAACAGAAGGTAAAGACAATAGTCTATGTTCTAAGCCTGCCGACTAACTCATCCCAAACCTATAACAGTACTTTCACACCTTTCACATGAAGTACCATCTTTATAACAAGACATGTCACCAATAAAGGAGGCTAGGATATCTAACAAAAAGGTCCCACGTACCAATCACAATCTTGAGATAAATCAGTAAAATATGACATTTCCAGAGCAAAAGATGCCAAAGGAAAAGAGAAGCGGTGTAGATTTTAAGCTTGGAACTGAAGCACTCCCCCCTGGGCAAACATCACTTTGCTTTGCTTAGAAAGGGGAGGAGCTAAGCCCACTCAGTGCACCGGTCAACAGATATAGCTTTCACGTCAAACTTCACACAGGGTGAATGAAAAAAATTGCCCACTCAAAATTTTGATTGAGGGAGGACAGCTTACCTCACACCATTGGGACAAAAGCAAAGGGAGTACAAAAGAGACAGAAACTTACCAACTTAATGGAATGAAATGTCCACTCTTTAAATCTTCTATCTAAATTTCCCTGCACAAAGAGAGACCTGATGATATATCAAAGTTTAATTTTCTACTGGGAGAAATAGAGTGATTTCTGATTACCTGATGGCGAGGAGATCGGATTTGGCACAAAAGTTGCTGGATGATCTCCGGCTAAGGAAGGAGAAGATGGGCATAGCAACTTCGCGCCAGCAATCAGCTCAGGCAACTTCTACTGGAAGTAAGTATCCGTGTTACTTTTCACTGGAGTATATACTTCTCATATGTTCAGATATCAAGTGAATGAGAAACAGCTTCTCAATGCAAAATTTAATTTGAGACTGTATAGTTTAGGTAAGGAACTAAGGGCTAAGCTCCAGAATCGTTGAAGTAATAGGAGGTTAAAATTTGAAGCAGAGAATGAGGGAGAGCATATTATTGAGAAATCCATGCACGGTCACAAGACTCAGAACCAGATAAGATGCCAAACACTAGATTAACATAATGAAAAAATGTCTACACGAAGATCAAAACCCTTAGAATGTAGTAATATCTGTAACACTGTAACAAAATCAGCGAAAACTAAAACAGAATAATAGATTGTAGCATTTACTGTTACAGGCTATACATTTATCTGTATAGATTACATATGATATAATTTGAAAGTGCAGCAACAGACTGTAACCAGCATAGTATTATTCTATAAAGATAAATGAAGTCAATACCCAAAGCTAGACGTACGCTAACGCAAATTTCTACATAATAGAAAGCCCTTTAATCTTGCTAGATCCAGACATTCTTGACAATTCATACTAGTAAATTATACATAGACTATCATAAAATATCCCCTCTTATTTTATACAATATTAAAAGGTTAAAGCAGATTCTTTTGGTTTGTCGATTAACCTGCATTCAGAAACTGACAGTGGAATTGTATGTTTATATGCATAAAGCACAATGTTCTTTCTTAATGTGCATACAAGTTATGCTACTTATATACTCACAGTCATTTTATTGCCGAGATTTTTATGCTGTACCCAAATAGTAGTATATACACATACCTGAAGAAACCTTGTCAAGCCTAAAATTTAAGAAATGAATGCATATTGATAGAGCAAACAATTATACCCATCGTTTCATATAGAAACTTGAAGGAAAAGAGTCATTATAAGATATAGAAAGAATGGAAGGTGTCCGTGTTTGTCACGTCCTGATCTAGCGAAAGCTTACTTCTACCAAAAATATCCCTTCCCTTCTATCAAGACTTGTTCAAACTTACTCCTGACGCATACCATAGATACTTCAAGATTAGAAGTGTTTTAATTCAACCTTTGCCACTGAGGCTTAGCTCAGCCATGTAGGATTGGTGCTTGGTTCTTGCAACCTCCAGATAAGAGTCCAGTCTGCCTTTGTTTACACACATTTGGAAAACAAACAAACGTCACATTCCATTGACTTTTGTGATTGAGAAAAAAAAAACATGTGATGAAAAGATGAACCCTGCTTTCAGATTCTCATGAAAACTCAAGATGGACTTTTCGAGGTTCAGGAGGAGCAACCAGGAGCTCTGTAAGTCCTTTTTCTTATTCCCAGAAAGGGGAAAAAAAGATAAGCCTTGACAGTTAATTTAAAGTTCACTAACTTCTAATAAGAACTAATGCAGGGTAACAAGAATATCTCAAACACAGAAGTTACACAAATGCGTCTTGGCACAAGACATCATAGAGCACCTTCATTTGAAGGGGTTTCCCAAGATATTGTTCCAATAGGAAAAACCAGAATGACAGAACAGATTGGAGATGTATCAATGGCACTTGCTCTTGCCCTAAGCAACACCGGGAAGCTCCAAAACATAGAGCTCTTTAGCAATGCCATGACAGGCAAGAAGCTTTCCTTGCAACATGGATCGTTTAGCTTCAGAGAAATAGATGGCAACATGCTGACAGCTTGTGACCAATTTCCTTTCCTTACCCCTTTACAAATTGGAGAGATATCAAGAGGTATTCGACAGTTAAATATAATTCTAAAAACCTGCACCAATGGAGTTGTTTTTAGCAGGGACTCAATAGAAATTGGAAGAGAACTGTTAAAAGGAGCTATTGATTTGGAGGAATCTCTGAGAATGCTCGTTAGCCTACAAGATGCTTCAGATTACATGTCTGGTTCAGGGAGAAAGAATATTAAACTGTTAAAGGGAAAAGAAGACGAGTTATCCTTGGAAGAAGTAAATAAAAGGAAGTTGATAAAACCCAAGTTTTCCTTTGACAGGTCCTCAAAACACTCGCAGCACCGTGATAGACAGGGTAGCTATTCTGATCCTGTGGAGCAGAATCAGATGGCTTCATCCTATCCAGAAATACCAACGCATTCAAATTTTAATTCTAATAATAGTTCCTCATCAAGCTCTTCTTTGCAGTTCAGTTATCATCGGCGATCCCTAAGCAGTGGTCCAGGTTCTAAATCTGATGTACCATCCTGGGGACATGCAAACGAAATTTCTCATGGCAAGGAACTCAGAAGCTTCTCAAGAGATGGAAATTTCTCCAGCTCAGTAAAAATCAAGCACGATGGTTCAGAAGCGAGATCAGCAACTGAAAAGGTGAGGATACCAAACGTTGTGGCAAAACTTATGGGCCTTGAAGAACTTCCACTAGCAACACCAGAATTGAAGAAATTTGAGGTACAAAACTTTCCTAACACTAATGATGTAAAAGAAGTCAGTAAGATAAGGACAGATGCAGGGATCAATAAAAAGGAAGCTAATAAGATTACGCATTCAGCAACCAAAATAAAGGGACGGAACATGCTTATAGAGGAAAAGGGATTTGAGGGAAACAAGACAACAAACAGTCTTGAGTTAGTCCAAAGGAAAATAAAGAAAAACGTGGAAGAACAGACTAACCCAGACCAAAAGCATCTTGTATCGTCTTCAACTATTACAGATATGACCAGTATAGATCGAAGTAAAGAATTCAAGGTGACAAAGAAGCAAACAGCAGAAGTAGGGAAAATGGCATCAACATTGCAACAGATACGCAAGGAAAAGGTTGAACAGGATGCCATCAGAAATTCTACTCCGGAAGATGGCATACAAAATACCACATCTTTGCTGCACATACACAATGATGATACATGTAGCGAGCATGAAGAAGCACAAAGAAACAAGAACGTGGTTCCTCAGAAACAGAGAAATGCACGAGTAAATCCAGTAGAGCCACAGCAGCAATCAGCAATCCACAGACTGAAAACCAAACACATAGCAGAGAGGGATGGTAAGAAAATAGATGATAATAAAAGAAACAAGCTGCAACCCGTCATGGCAAAGAAAAAGGAATTCAAGGGGAAGAATGCAGAAATATCTCCCAGTGGCATGAAATTGCAGAAGGCATCATCCAGTATCTCAACTGTAACAGTTACTAGAAGTTTATTCAAATCTTCCAATACAGAGCCAAATCCAAAATGCAATCGTAAAGAGCAAACGAAGGTTCAGAGCAAAAAATCTTCTTACCCTGAAGGGAACAGGAAATCAGAAAACGAAATCCCAGAAGAGAAAAGGTCCATCAAGGTGGTTACCAAAACCGAAGAAGAAAAGGTTTTCCCTTTGATTCTTGCACCGACAATCAAAAAGCCTGTACCAAATCCATCTGTCCAGAAGGTAGAAGCCATAAAAATGATGCGGGACAGAAATAAGAATAGAGGAACATTAACAGAAGAAAATAGAAGAGCAAAAAATACGGAAGGAAAGGTACAGAACTTGAAGCAGACAACTTCGCTTTTACACGAACTGGAGCATAGATGGAAAGAGAGAACCAGTAAAGCAGAAGCAACGATCTGCTCAAATGCAATGAAGTCAGAGCAGCATTCACAGCAGACAGTTGCACCTCTCAACCTTTTGTCAAGTTCCAACACAACTGAAGTCTCAGGGCTTGAAGATGGCGTCATCACTCCAGAACAGATTGTAAGTTGTGCTCTTCAATATTGACTTGTCATCTATAAATCCTTTATTTGAGTGTTTAGAGTGTTTTTCATAGAAAAACTTCTGAAATAACTCAGTAAATGAGAGGAAGAGCTATCATCTGTAAAAATGATTCTGAAATAGCAACATACACTATTTGATTGTCTATGTTATAGGTGGAAACTCAACAGGAAGAAGCTGCAAACACCATGGGGAGCCATGAAGGAACCATCATTGAATCTGCTGCTGTGCATTTATCAGAGATTTATGCAAAAGATATAGACCTACAACCACCCATGGAAGAAAACAAGCCAGAAGGTAACAGGAATGATTCCATTACATCATCCTTATGCTTCATTTAGCTGTGAGAGAAAATGTATACGTCAACAAATAATCACAGCCATAGTCCATGCACATCAAAAATACATTAAAAGATATCTGGAACAGCTATGTTATGTATATTAGCAATATTTGGTGAAAGTTAGAACTAAAGTATCTTTTATCACTACAGGTCCAGGTAACAACAGCCAAGTTAACAGCTGCAACTCCTCAGGGGTTGAGAATATTGCGACATCTCAGGTTCATGGTCAAGGGTTGCTTACAAAATATGGTTACATCCTCAAGCAAGTACTGACGAACAGCCGGCATTTCCTCAATACATCACAGGCAATTTTCAAAATTAAGATTCCTATTAGTATCCTCCAGGACAGTGAAAATATATGCCAATATGAAGGAGACAGCCATCTCATAGACACTGTATATGAACTAATGAGAAGAAAAGGCAAAAGAGAAGAGATCTTTTTTTCTAAGAAAACACCTTTCGCACCTGCCAAAACGGGATGCTTGGATGATCTAATAAATGAGCTAGAGTATGACCTCAGAAGCTTGGAGATGCCCAGCATGAACGAGGGAGCGAATAATGATGTAGCAGAATACCTGCATAAGATGGTAGAGAGAGATATCCAGCACAGGAACCCAGATGTCAACTGTATGTGGGATATCAGCTGGAATAGCATGGCATTAGCAAATATAGAAAAGGAGGAGATTATGACAGATGTGGAAAAACATATCTTGAATGCACTCATCAATGACCTAGCTAGGGATTTAATGAGTGTAAGCATCAGCATTTAACAGTATTGTAAAGAATCCCAAAATATCACCCGTGTATATAAAAAGAATGTGATCCAACTATATTAAAGAAGGAGAAGAGGAAAATAAAATAGGTTCTTGGAGAACACAAATGCCTTTGCTACCAAAGTAAAATATTTCCTACTCAGAAAAGTTTAAAAACCTTTTCTCACCCTGATAACAATTTGGTCAAGTCCAAACAAATATGATTTTGTCAGAGTACCAACTGCATTTAACAAGAGAACAAACTGACAAAAACTCAAAGGTTAGTTTTTCGTAGAAAACAAATAGGAGAAGCAACGCAAACTGTTTCTTATTTGTTATAAGAATGTGTATTAATCACAGCATCAAAATTCCCTCAACTTCAAATACAGTTCAATGGTTCAGCGGTATTAGCATCTCGAACTGGTATAGGTTACATTCTCCTATCCTCAAGGAAAGGAGAAACTGCTATTCCTTCTGTTTGAACTTTAAAAGCTTTAGTGATCAGGTAATTTTAAAAATTCAACTGAACCCTGACTTTAGTTTTGTTGAAAAGATAATGTAATTAGAGAATATTAGAGGGGGTTTTGTGTAAATGTGGGTGTAAGGCTATATAAACCAATCTATTCTATTAAAAAAAACCCTAATTTTCAATATGGTATCAGAGCCCTAACCTAGCCGCCTCCCTCTTCAACCCGACGAAATCCAACCCGAACAAATCCGAGGGCTTTGGTCTTCATCCTCGGGCTTTGTCTTCACCAGAGGGCCTCCGAAGCCTCTAGATCTCCAGGCGGCGAGGTCATTGACTCCAAGATCATCAACGATCAGGAGGCCTGCTCGGTGGAGTTCTCTTGTAGGGAAGCGTCGACGGAGGAGCAGGGCGTCAGTGACGTGACCGGCGGCGGGTATGCTGCGACCACGACGACTGTAAGGCAGGAGGAGATAGCCGGATGCAGAGGAGGCCGAAGTCGATGGAGGAGCAGGGCGTCAGTGATGTGATCGCGGCTACGGGGGAGGGTCTGATAGCGGGAGCTGGAGGAATCTCGTTTTGGAGTTTGGTTTTTTGATCTGCAGGGAGTGTTGCCGATCAGATCCAAGAGAAGAAGGAATTTTTTTTTTTTGGGATTGTTGCCAATCAGATCCAAGAAAAGAATAAAAAATTGGGACATGTATTAGATGATAAAGTAGTTTCGTTCTGCTGTTTTTTTGTTGTTTTTATTCTAGATCTGTAATAGCTTGTTAGGTTCCCTCGACAAGTCAGTCCTAGAACTGATAAGAGGAAGAGCTGATATCTCACTTTGTTAAGATATCTTGCTTTTTGGTTCTTGTTTCCTTGGTGAAACAAGAATTCTTGTTGATCTAATTCTCTTGTTGTGCTGTCGAAGTGCTGCCGAAATTTTCGCTGCGCACAACAAGAATACAAGTTGGATCGATGACGGAGACTGACAGAAATCTGATGGAGAAGATTGTTGGACCCTAGGGGGGTGATTAGGGTCACAATGCTATAATTGTGCAATAAAAATTAAAACAAGCAAAACACAATATCTAAAATCAATCAATATAGAGGAGATAGAGTTAGGAATCGTTATCCTGTGACGTGCGATGTGTTAACGAGGTTCGGTCCGCTGACCTACGTCCCTGCTCCCCACTCTCGAGGAGAAATCCACTACACAACCCGGTTTGAAAGCCGGAACTTCTTCTACACAGCGATCCCCTCACGATCTCCCACTACATAGTTAATCTCACTAGATCACACTCCCACACAATTGATCTCTACAAGATCAAGCTCTCAAAATAGTAGAAATTGATGTAAAAACCCTCTCTTTACAATGTCCCTATAACAAAGAGAATATCACACTGAAGCTGGGATGTGAAACATAAAAACTCAGAAAGAAACAGGTTTGAAAATTAAGCTCTGTAAAAACGTTCTCTGAAAATATTTTGAAAAAGCTGGGACAAGGAGGAAGAAGAAAAGAATAGATTTAAATAGAAAACCACAGCTGTTTGAACCCATACCCAATCCTCCAAAATCTGGAAACAAAACTTCGCTGAGATCGTGTGAAATCGGCGCTGAACAACTGTACCAAATGAACGTTTAAAATAAGCGGCGGTCGACCGTGATTTTTTCGCAGTCGACCGCGAGACAGCCCAGAAACTGAGTAAACTCCAGAGACTTCTGCGGTCGCGACCGCGACGGTCGACCGTGAAAGTCTCTGCTGCCCACTGACGAATGAACTCAGACGCGGTCGACTGTGACGGTCGACCGCAAACTGATATACTCAAAAAAAGGTTTTTTTTTTACTTACTTAAAATATTTGTAAAAATATTCATTTGACTTCTGAAAATTGTGAAACTTTGTAAAATATTTTTAATACTAAAAACAAATTGTTTGAAAAAAGAATTTTGCAAATAAGTCCTCATACTTGTGAAAAATAGTATTTTGTGAAATACGCTCAAAAATATAAATATAAAAACGTGTGTGTGATATCTCAATAGCTTCAAGTAAAATCGATAACTCTTTGCCTACATTTTAGTACTAGAGAGAAAATAAAAAACTAGCTAATATCCTCACGAGAATATAATTCTTGAGTCTTGATATAGCTTGAGTTGGATGAAGCTTCTTATTACATTTGGTGTTCTTGAATGAACGTTGCTTCATCACTATGCCTCCTTCTTCTTTGGATATCATCGTTGTAGCGCATATTCCATCCAATCCTCCATTTGTGGTACTAACATACTTGATATATATATTAACTGCATTATCACTCAATAAGTAATTAGTACCGATAATGGTGATTGTAAAACATCATCAAAACATAAGGACTAACAATCTCCCCCTTTTTAATGATGATGATAACCAACCATTATATAAGAGAAAAAATAAATATAGCTTATAGATAGGTGCTCCCCCTATCTATGAGCTCCCTCTAAATATATCCAACAAATGAGGAGATTTCTCTCCCCCTTTGTCACCATCAAAAAAATTAGATAAAGAGAAATGCATGCAAAATACAACTAAAACAAGCAAACAAATAGAACTTTCACATATTGCATAAGCCCAAGCCATTTCTTATGCGACAAAAATCATCTTCACCAAGAGGCTTAGTAAATGTATCCGCTAATTGAGATTTTGTGTCAATAAACACTAGGGATACATCTTGTCTCTCTACATGATCGCGTAAGAAATGATGACGTACATCAATATGCTTGGTTCTAGAATACAAAACCGAATTTTTAGAAATATTAATAGCACTAGTGTTATCACAAAAGATTTTTATATTTTAAAAAATCAAATCATAATCAACTAAGCTTTGTTTCATCCATAAAACTTGGGCACAACATAAGCCGACGGCAATGTATTCCGCTTCTGTAGTGGACAATACAACGCAATTTTGTTTCTTGGAAGCCCAAGAAACAAGAGAATTTCCTAAGAATTGGCATGTTCCACTCGTACTCTTGCGATCTACCTTACATCCGGCAAAGTCGGCATCACAAAAACCATATAAATCAAAAAAAGTGCTCTTTGGATAAAATAAACCAAGATTAAAAGTTTCATTAACATACTTAATGATCCTTTTAACCGTAATTAAATGAGATGCTTTAGAAGAAGCTTAAAAGCGTGCACATGCACACACACTAAACATGATATCGGGTCTACTAGCGGTGAGATAGAGAAGACTACCTATCATACCTCGGTATAGTTTTTGGTCCACATCTTTACCATTCTCATCCGCATCAAGCTTGACACTTGTACTCATGGGAGTAGGCGCATGCTTAGAGTTCTCCAAATTGAATTTCTTCACCAATTTCTTAGCATACTCGCTTTGAGAAATGAATATCCCATCCTTAGTTTGCTTGACTTGGAACCCGAGAAAGAATGTAAGCTCTCCCATCATACTCATCTCAAAATGATCTTGCATAACTTTAGAAAATTCCTTGCACAAAGATTCATTAGTAACACCGAAAATGATATCATCAACATATATTTGAACTAAAATGAAATCATTTTTTTTTCTTACAAAAAGAGATCAATTGTTCCTTTTGAAAAACCATTTTCAACAAGAAAACTAGAGAGGCGAGAATACCAAGCTCTAGGAGCTTGTTTCAACTCATATAAAGCTTTTTGAACCCGGTAAACATGATTAGGAAAAACATGATGTATGAAACCGGGGGTTGCTCAACATATACTTCCTCTTTTATAAAACCATTTAAAAAGGCACTTTTAACATCCATTTGAAACAATTTAAAATTTTTAAAGCTAGCAAATGCCAAAAACATCCTAATAGATTCCAACCTTGTAACCGGTGCAAAGGTTTCGTCATAGTCTATGCCCTCCTCTTGATTGTATCATTGGGCAACCAAACGAGCTTTATTTCTAGTTACAATGCCATGTTCATCAAGTTTGTTTCTAAAAACCCATTTAGTACCAATAACACTAGCATTGTTAGGTCTAGGAACTAGTTTCCAAACATTATTTCTTTAATAATTATTTAGTTCCTCATGCATAGCTAAAACCGAAAATTCATCATTTAAAGCATCATTAATCTTTTTAGGCTCTAGTTGAGATAAGAAAGCAACATTACCACACTCACTCAAAGCTTTGAGCGAGTAACAACTCCTTGTGAAGGGCTCCCAATTATTTGTTCCTTTAGATGGTTTGATGTGAATTTTCAAGCTTTAGGAAGTCAACTTGTTCATGAGCATTGGAGCTATCCACATCCTTTTGTGCTTCTATAGAGGGTGTATCATTGATTTGTAAAAAGTCCAATCCTCCCTCAACATCATCATCATCATCTTTCATAGGTAAAACAACTTGAGAACCAATATTAGTCTCATCAAAAGTAACGTTTATAGATTCTTCAACAACGAGAGTTCGTTTGTTGAAGACCCTATAAACCTTACTTCGAGGTGCATAACCTAAGAAAATGCCAACATTAATTTTGAAATCAAATTTGTCATGATGATCTTTTGTATTTAAAATAAAATATTTACAACCAAAGATACGAAAATAACCAATAAAAGGAGTTTTTCCATAAAATAGTTCATAAGGAGTTTTCTTAAGCTTTGGTCTAATTAAAACACGATTTAAAATATGACAAGTCGTATTGACGGCTTCCGCCCAAAAATATTTTGACAAATCAAAGGAATTTAACATAGTACATGCAATTTCTTGTATGGTGCGATTTTTTCGTTCAACAATACCATTTTGTTGTGGTGTTCTAGGAGCGAAAAACATGTGAGTTATACCATGATGAGTACAAAAATCATAGAAAAAATTATTTTAAAATTCACCACCATGATCACTTCTTATTTTAACAACTTTCAAATCTTTTTTATTTTTAATTCTTTTGACATGATTAGAGAATTCTTTAAAACAATCATTTTTATTTGCAAGAAATATTATCCATGTAAAACGAGAAAAATCATCAATAATCACAAATACATAGTGTTTGCCTCCAAGAGAGGTAACACGCATAGGACCAAATAAATCAAGATGAAGTAATTGCAAAGGTTTAGAAGTCGATACCTCATTGATGGATTTGAAAGAAGATTTTGTTTGTTTACCTTTGGCACAATCTTCACATATGGTATCTTTGATGAAGTGCAAGTTAGGTAACCCTTTTACAAGATTTCTCTTAGACAATTTTGATATCAATTCCATGTTTGCATGTCCAAGCCTCTTATGTCAAATCCAAGGGTTTTCATCAATTGCCGCAAGGCACTTCACATCTTGATTCACTAATTTATTCATCTCAAAAATGTACACATTAGATTTACTATTAGCAACAAAAATAATTTTTCCATTCATACAAATAATGCATTTGTCCGGTTTAAAGAAAATATCAAAACCTTTATCACTCAATAGAACATATACCAATGATTTTACCTTTCTCATCACCACCGAAAGAGACGCTACCTCATTCAATCCTTGATAGGGTTGTAAATAGCTCTTTGGTGTCCGTCATATGATGTGAGCAACCACTATCAAGGTACCACATTCTCTACGTCGTGATCGTGATGTTCTCTATAAAAGATGAATGTGTAATAACTTTAGGTACCCAAATCTTGGGTCCTTGGTGGTTAGTAAACTTGGTACCTTTGGGTACCCAAAATCTTGGGTCCTTGGTGGTTAGTAAACTTGGTACCTTTGGGTACCCATGTCATGCCATAGAAATCATGATTATCTTTAAAACTTGGTACCTTTGGGTACCCATGTCATGCCATAGAAATCATGATTATCTTTGATCCTACAATGAGTGTAAATATGACCATATTTCATACAATATGTGCACACAAAATTTCTCTTGTGTGTTTGAGCATGATATCTATGAAATCTAT